GATCTGAACGCCCTGAGGCTGGATGCCTCGGCGAATTGGGTGTTGATCAAAGAATCCCACCCCAAACCCTAAACCCTAAACCCGTATAAATGAATAGTTGGACCTCTTTAGTTTCCTTACAGTCCCCACATCTCCTTGGCATCCCTTGGCCTCCTTTCTTGAAGAAACTCCCATATGAGCTCGAGCTCTGAAAGGGGGTTTTGTAGGGGAATATATAGGGGACTTCTACAGGGGTTCTTAAAAGGGATACGAGGAGTTAGGCTCATGCATACTGTAGGGCTTAAGGGTTTAGGGTTAGTAAAATATTAAAAATGTATACATATATGTTAAGAGTAAGGAGTAAGCATTTTCACTACATTAGTTTACGAAAATATCACAATTCCCAGAGCATACGGTTTTAGGCGTCACACCGGTTCTTCCGTCCTGAAGCTCTAAAGCCCTAAGCCCTGAACCCTAATCCCTCGGCCCTTAATTTGCTCAGGGCCATGCAGGAGTTTTTAGTATCAACCCTGTTTTCCCCATATAGTTTGTTGATTTTTTAGAATCCCCCCAAACCCACCAATCCTAAACCCTAAACCTGCAATACCCCCTAAACCCACAAACCAAACCCGCAAAACCTTTCTCACCAAACCCTAAACCCTAAACACCACAACCCTAATCCCTAAACCCTAGGGTTCTTAAGGGGGCTACTAGGAATTTAGCAAAATGTTCATATCAATGCCTTGGGATCCTGTGGCAAAGGCGGTGGCTGCAGGGGAGACCATGGAGCTACGGGAGTTCCTTGGGATGCCATTTAGGGGGAGGAAAAGGGGGGGGGCATTGAGGCTTTGGGGGGTTTAGGGTTTGGAGTTTGGGGTTTAAAGGGGGGATTGAGGTTTTGGGGGTTTTGGGTTTGGGAGTTTGGGGTTTAAGGGTTTAGGGTTTTGGGATTTTGGGTTTAAGATTTAGTGTTCGGGGCTTAGGATTTCTAGGAGGTTAAGGTTCATTGTGTTTCGGGTTTCCAGGTAGGTGGGTACCACCCAGATACGGCTCAACTCATACAGGCATTGGGGCTTAGGGTTTAGGGGTATCCACCTCATTGCTTATCCTAATCCCCAAGCCGCCCAAGCCCTAAGTAGTAGGGGAACCCATGATAGACCCACTGATAAGCCCCTACTTGAAGCTTGCCTTGGGTTGTTGGAGGGTTTGTGAGAAAAGCGCATCATACAGGTCTCTTCAAAGGGTTTCTAGGTATACAGCGGGCTTAGGGTTTGGGGGGCTTCAGGAGTGTGGAGAAGGGATTAAGGGTTTGGATTCGTGCAAAAGAGTTCAACATGGAATGGAAATAGGGATTATTTCGTGGCTTATGCGCTTTGAATTTAGTACGGCTTTGGGTGTAGGTGTAGCGCCCTAGGATTAAGACGTCGGGTTTGGAGCAATAGATTTCTTATTAAGGGTTCAGGGATTTCGGATTCAGCGTTCTGGAGTGGAACGTGAAGCGTTTACGGCTGTTCTCAACCGTTTCGGATGTAAGGTTTTTGGGTTGGAGTTCGGGGTGTAGGTTGCGGGGCCAGGCGGCGCATGTAGGGCATCAAGGATTGGAGTCGGGTTTGGTGCATAGGACCAAGCGGTACGCATGATTGTATGGCACACGTTGCATTCTAACTCCTTCCACCCCCCCCTAATCAATTAGCCCGTTGGGGCCCGCATGCATTTTTGGCCATGATGGGCCTTTTGCCCGCCGTGGCCCTCGCCTGGCCCCGCCCAGCCACTTTGGCAAGCGCGGAGCGGGTCAGGGAGGGCAAGCTCGCGTGCTTGGAGGCTGCCGGCGCCGGTTTGGATGGCGAGGCACGCGGGCATGCCAAACGCGAAGCCGCGCAGCGGTGGGCTGCGCTCAGCGACGCCTCGCGCCTCGCGCACCAGCAACGTGCTCTTGCCGCGCCTGCCACTGCCCCGAGCCCGCAGGCCCCAGATGCCCCACGCACTCGTGAGGGTCAAGTGGACAAGGATTATGGACAGTTTACATTGGGTACTGCCCGCACTTATTAACAGCTGGATAATCTTTATAATGAAGAGAGAGAGAGATGTGTGTATATATATATATAGAGATAGCCCTCAATATGACTCTTCTACAGACTGTTAATGGGTCGGGGCAGGACCCACAGTTGACATACCAGTGGATCGCTTCGGAACAGTCAAGAATTCATAGTGTCATAGAGTCTTAGGCCCTAGACCCTGGCCCTGAACCCTAGATCCCAAACCCTAAATCGTAAACCCTAGACCCTGAATCCTAAACTTCATTCGCCCTAAACCCTAAACCCTGAATCCTAAACTCTAAACCTTACATCCTAAACCCGAAGCTCTACAATCTGAAGGGCTCTCGGGCCCTAGGGTCAAAGAGCATGGCGCAGGAGCACCTATGTGAGCAATAATCTAAACTCCTAGTATCCCCCTAATACTGCGTAACCCTAAAATACTCCTCTATATATTCCCCCTTTAAGTAGTGGAGATGATGGCTCATGTGTTTACTTTCCCCAGTCCAACCTCAAGAGCGCCTATCAGTAACACCTACAGTCTTTTGGGGGGATTTACCTACGGGTTTAGGGTTCGGCGTTATAAAGTTTAGGGTTTTGAGTTTAGGGTTATAGGGTTTTGGGTTTTGGGTTCTGGGGTTTAGGGTTTAAAGGGTTTAGGGTCAATTACCATTAAGCCGTAGGTAAGTGGGGTTAAGCAGGTAGAGGCCCTCTTCCCATTAACACAGCCTTGGAGCCCGACTCACGTGAAACAATCAAGTAGATAAGATTTTCTTTTCCACTATTTAAACCTATTGGAGGGTCCTTAAATGCTGTTAGGGTTAAGGGGTTTAGGGTTTAGGGTTTAGGCTATATCATCCAATTTTTTCTCGCATTCATGGCTCTCCTCGGAAGCTAAGTGATTTTGGCAGGTTCCGTTCACCGTATGAACTGCTGAGGCATGCCGCGCGTGCGCTGGCGAATCTGCCAATGTGTCGCCTGTCTGACATTAAGTGGGTCGCGGTGAACTCCCGCTGTGTATCCACACACGCCTCATAGCTGCTCATAGCGCCGAAGATCTTTATGTGAGCCATAGCCTAAACTCTTAGTATCCCCCTTCGTAAACCTTAGAATACTCCACTACCCTTTTAAGGCACTTAGACTATGGCTCATGTGATGGTTACTCCTGACTAAACCTTCAAACCCAAAACCCCTAAACCCCAAACCCCTTAAGCCTTAAAACCCCAAGCCGTAAACCCCTTAAACCCTTAAATCCCTTAATCCCCAAACCCCTAAACCTTAAACCCGTAAATCCCTAAACCCTAAACCCTAAGTACGAAGAACAGCTATTCGCTCTGAACCCGGTTTAGGTCTGGGAGCTGCGCCTCCGCCAGCTGGGTGTTGGGTTTTGGGCTTCAGGTTTAAGATTTACGTAGGATTTAGGGCTTAGGGTTTGGAGTTTAGGGTTTGGGGTTTAGGGATTTAGGGTTTAGGGTCCTTTTCGTTTATAGCTTTCAGGCCATGGCTGCCATTAAATACCAAAGATTGATACACATGGGCCGCACCCACTCTTTGGGCTTTAGGGTGCGCATGGGCGCCAAGGCCTCTCAAGAATCAAGCCCTAAGTTAGGGTTTAGCTCAAGCTGGAAATACAGGATTTGGGCCAAGGCTCTAGCTTGGTTGAAAGCCCAACCTTTGGAAACCTTGAATACCTAAGGTCCTAGGCCCGGAAACATTCACACTTCAGGGTTCCGAGCTTTAGAAAGCCAGGGTTTGGGCCAGAGCTGCAGTAATATTGTTATGACTGTTGATATGTGCTTGCGCGCCTTGGCTTGTAAAAGTTGTAGGGTGGCCCCGACACATGCTGCCAGCAAACATAACACACTCAAGCCCCAGACTCTATAGACTCTAGACCCTAAACTTTAAGCACCAAGCCCTGAACCAAAAGCCCTATTCCACCTCCTCCCCTACTACTATGGGCTATTAGACCCTAGCATTCCCTATTAGGACCCTATTAAGGGTAGAGTAAGGTACCTTTAACGTCTAATAGCCCATAGTGGTAAGACCCCAAACCCTAAACCCTAAACCCTAAACCCTAAGCCCTAAACCCTAAACCCCTAAACCCCTAAACCCTAACCCTAAACACCAAGCCCTAAACCACCTCCCGCCCCCTAAGTGGCATGTGTTGGGCTTCTCTCGCACAAGGCGAGATGAGCAATGCGCAGAGCATTGTCGAAGCTGGCGGAGCGGCTCCTCTTGACTGAGTTTGTTTAGTGTACACAGTTTACCCAAGGGCACCTATGTGGTTCCGTTTTGGGTTTGTTATGGTCTTTTGGTAAGGGATTCTGATATAGTACCCAAAAAGGAACTACATAGGAGGGTCTGGGAAGTGTGCACAGTTTAAGGTTTAGGGTTTAGGGTTTAGGGTGTAGGGCTTAGGCCGGTTGAGGGTTTAGGGCTTAGAGTTCAGAGTTTAGGATTAACAGAGATGGAGTTTTTTTTATGATGGGAGTTGGCTTCAAAGCCAAAAAATTACCTGCCTTGTACAGCCCAGGTGCCTCCGTTGGTCCATCTCTTGACCGTCGACAGCTACGGATGTCGTGCACAGGCCAGGAGCAGCCATTTCAGAAGCCTGAAGCAGGAAACAAATTGGATCCCCAAAGACCGTTCCCGGGATGGAGGTCATATGCGGTGTTTGGGCTCTAGGGAGTCCTGAACACTTGCCAATATTCCCAGTGATGGAGAGTCCCATGGCAAATCGCATTAATATGACAACTGAATTTAAACAGGTGTTTACAGGGCTTATGATGTTGCAGAAGCATCAGCTTTTGCAGCATCATCGCCTTACCACCCTGTATCTAGAATGAAACCTGTCCTTGAGGAATCTGGCAACTGACCTCTACAACTCAGGACATGGAGTTCCTACCCTCTTCCTAGCTGCGATTCAGTCGGACCCCCACCCCGCAAAAGGAGGACTGTGCATTCCCGTCTTCGGCAATCGTATTGGAGGCGGCTTCAGCAACTTCGATCGACTGAGGAGCAAGAAAGTGTTAATCCCAGAGTCCAAGGCCTTCGTGTCATACCTGATCGAGTTCCTCAAGATCATTCGAACCAACCGCGGCGAAGCCCTGCTGTCTTCTGAGGTCGATCTTGATCGCCAAGAGAAAATCATCAAGGACGTGCTGCGCAAAGGCTGGCTCGGTTACTTGAAGTCCCGTTCCTGGACGGGTGTCAAGGATTCAAGGACCGATGGGTGGATGAGTTCGGGACCAACCTGGTCACTATGGATGAGCACAAAGCTCTGGCACCAGCCCCTTCCAGTCGTGGAGCTGTTTACTACTGATCGCCGGGGGATTGCCATGATATCAGGAAATGTGCCTCTCGCGGGCTGGACGACAAGTAACAACTGGACAGTGTCGTTCAAACAGACATTTGCACAGGCCTTGCTCTGTGCCGTGAGGCGTTGAGACATCACGATGTTTCGTTGCTGACGGACCCTAAAAGGCTATGTAAGGATTCCTCAATCCACAGTACCCATAGAGGGGTCCTGGTTCTTGTTGGATGATGCCAAGACCTGCGAGATGTACTCTCTATGGTGCAGGGTTTGGGCTGTTAGGGTTGCATGCTTAGGGCTTCCAATCTCGAGGGTAATCCCAGACGAGCAAGATGTAAACAATCCACAGGCCCCAGTAGCTTGCGAATTTGTACAGCCAGACCCTCCATGGTACCCCGCATAGCATTTCATGTTGTTTGTAGGGGTGCTCTCTACTACTAGCTGCAGGACGTACTGTTGTAGGATTCATTAAGTGGACCCCCTCACCCGGTAATAGTGACCCACAGGGGGTAATAGTGATTATATTAGGGTTCTCGTATATTCCTGTTATGCTACTATTACACGGTTGGGGGTCCACGTAAAGCATTCATGTGAACTCTTTTCTTGTGTTTTCGCTGTAGCAGACCCCCACAACCTAAACCCTAAACCCTAAACCTCTAACCCTGAACCGTAAACAATTGTTGGTCAAAGGAAATGAAGGAGAATTAGTATGAATACCCGGGGAAGTGCTTGCCTTTCAGGGTTTGGGTTTAGGGTCCAAAAATATTGGAACTAGCGTCATAGTCGCGCCATACCTTGAACGAGTGTACTTTACCCCAGCCCTAAACCGTCTGACCGTCATCGGGTGGGCAGCATTCAAAATTGATTGCCGTCTTCTTGCACCGCTCCTTGCCTTAAACCCTAAGCCTAAACCCTAAACCTCTCTGAACCAAACCCCCCAAACCCTGAACCCTAAACCGCTCTACCCCACAAAACCCTAACCCCCTTAACCCCAAACCCAAAACCCCAAGGGGGGATGGATCTCCCCCCCTGCCCAGTCATTAAGCACCAACTTGCGACCTGATTTGGAATTTTGCTTGAATGGTTTAGGGTCTAGGGTTTAGGGTGTAGGGTATCGGTTTGAGGGTTTGGGGTTTAAAAAGTCTTGGGTTTAGGGTTTGGGGTTAAAGGTTTGCAGGGATCTAAACCAGACCTACCTGTCAGGCAGCGCGGGCTGTGGGCAACCTATGCGTCGCCAGCCAGGACACGCACCTGGGGGAGATGTCAAAACACCTCAGGGTCCCTTTTCTTACTGGTTCTTCATGGGAATAAGGGAGTATATTATATGGGCAGTGTATAGGGATT